CCTTACCTCAGTTGTTAGAATAACAAAAATCAGATCACCACCAAATTCCCTATAAAAGTTATACAAAATATAATATGAGAAAACCCACTAACTTGACATATAGCATGCGCCTTGTCAGGTCTAAAAAGTGGAAATAAACAAAATACAGGTAATCCTTAACTTACAACCATTTGTTTAGTGATCATTCAAAATTACAGTGGCACAAAAAGTGATTTATGACCAGTCCTCACATTTATTTATTTATTTATAACCATCAGAGCACCTCTATCAAAATTTAGGTGCTTGGCAACTGGTGTTCATTTATAATAGTTGCAGCATCCCAGGATCACATGATCGCCATTTGTGCCCTTCCCAATGGGGGAAACTGGATTCACTCAATGACTGTGTGATTCATTTAATTGTAGGAATTTGTTTAAGAATCATGGCGAAAAAGAAGTAACTCATTTAATAATTGCTTTGCTTAGAAACAGAAATTCTGGTCCCAACTGAGGGTTATCTGTACTTAACAATTTAAACTCTTTTTACTTGGCTGAGCTACTAAGGAGAAGCTGCAAAGCTGCCAACTAGCATTTCACTTACAAAATGTTTAACTCAGCTGGGTGGCCAGCAGAGGCAAAAACTTCCTCCAAAAGAGAAGCAGAGCCACGCTATCTCAACAAGAAACCTAGCTTGGCAACCATATCAACCGCGCCTAGAAATAAATCTTTCCAGCTAACTCTGTTCACATCACTGAAACAAGAGATGCACAGCTGGCACATATTAAATAATAATTAATAAATAAAATAATAAAGACTAATAAAACTAAGAGAGACAGTTTGGTGTACAGGAGTGGTTAATGCATCAAGATAAAAACCAGGAGACCACGAGTTCTACTGCCACCTTAGGTACAAAAGCCAGTTGGGTGACCTTGAGCCTAGGAAGGAGGCAATGACAAACTTCTTCTGAAAAATCTTGCAAAACTGTAAGGCAGTCACTAGGAGTCAATGTACAAAACACCTGTCATCCCCAAAAAACTTTAAAATATAGCCTAAAAGACTTTATTAGTAAATGCCTGTTTGAATAAAGCTATTTTATTTCTGTGTATAAAAAACAATACAGAAAAATTAAGAAAATGTCTACAATGAAAGTATGACAAAGCCTTGATACAATTACTAAGAAAATTTACTTCTCTTAGTTTAGCTTCTCTTAGATTTTCTACTGATAGTATAAAGTGAGTCTCCCAAAACTGATTTTAAAACTGCATCTTTTGATTAATAGAAAATATTACTTTTTCCAAAATAGATCAAACATTTGTGACAACCATTTGTTAACATTTGGAAAAATCTCTTTTTTTCAGTATATCAGTATATTCCTGATAAACAGATTCCAAAGGCATATAATTCATTAAAATATTTAACAATTAAACATTTCCCCATAAATCTACTTATGAACACTAATTAACTATGGCATTCCAAAAGATATCAAATGATCATGCTCAGTGAACCCTCAATTTTATATCTACAACATAGAAAATCTGATATCCATACTTTCAAATATTCTTGTTGGGGACACTAGTACACCCTAAATACATTTTTGATGAATAATCTCAAATCTTTTGATGCCATTTTAAATTTTTATGAATTCATTGATGCAGCATTATCTGAGATTCTATTTTTAGTGCAGGTTTGAAATAATATCCATACTTTAATAATATCCACACTTTAAAAATATTCTTGTGCTATTGATAAAATAACTAGGAGGTAGGAAAGAAGCCATGTCTTCCCAATGATAGTCTTGAAGATTGCCCCTTTGCATAGCAACATAAGAAGAGTTATTCATTTCCCAATACTCCTTGAAGATTGGTGGTTGCTTCTATACGCATTTCTACTAATCCACCTGCTGTGAATCTTCTCTCCTTGGCCAATGCAATGTGAATCTCGCACAGCAGGATAATTTGGAGGGAATGTTTCTTGGAGAAGTAACCATCAACCCTGTTTACTCAGAATCATTGCATGGTGTTGGAAAATTAAAGTAGTTGGCCCCAATTTTCTCCTCCCTCAATTTTATTACTCAAGTAGGAGGAAGTAGTTTCTCTGAGGATAAGTAAACAAGAGAAATGACTGGCAGCTCATAATCTGCACTAGAAACTTTACCTTTAGAAACATGTTCTAGCTAATAGTTATCCCAGTTACAAACAACTAACTTGTGAAAATCATGAATATGAGTCTGCCAAATAAAATTGTTCCAGTAATCTCATTAAAGAGGGTAAAAATAACATCAAAGCAGAGTGCTTTGCATCTTATGCATTACTTCCATTTTGTGTTTGAGTTAGTCTGGACTCCTGGAATCTACATGGACAAGTCCCTCAGTTCTTTCAGCACCAATTTTCCTTGGCTTTCTTTCTAGGGATTAGGCACAACTTAATTTGTGCCTAAGGCAGCACTAGAACTCTGTCTCCCAGTTTCTAGCCCTGTAATTCTATCCACTTTAACCAAACTGCTTTCACTTCCATACTTTCTGTTAAGTTCAGCAAATGTTTATTAAAAAATTGCAAGTACTGCAGTACGTGCTGTCCACAGCGCACACTACACACAAGCAAAAAACACAAATAAGAATATACATTACATACAAACATCCTTCACATTCTATTTAACATTACACTGCCCCTAATATTGCACTTCAATGTTGCACTACACAGTAGAATTTAATATGGTTACAGCTCTAGGATAAAACTATTTTTCAGCCTATTTGCCTTTGTTTTTATTATCCTCTACTGTCTGCCAGATGATAATAGTTCAAAAAAAGAATGTCCAGGATAAGATTTTAAGAATGTTTTGAACTTTCCTAAGACAGCGGAAACTGTACAGTTCATGGGGGGGGGCAATAATCAATAATCCTCTGGGTGATGTCAATGACCCTCTGGAGTGCTTTCCTATCTGCCACTGTGCAGCTGGCAAACCACACACAAATGCAATAGGTTAGAATGCTCTCTATGGAGCAATGGTAGAAGGTCACCAGTAGTTTTTCATTCAGTTGTTGTTTCCTGAGAAGTCTCAAGAAATATAATCTCTGCTGGGCCTTCTTAACCAGTGCTATAACATGAGCATTCCAGGTCAGGTCCTCCTTTATGGTAACACCCAGAAACCTAAAGCTTGCCACCCTCCCCACACAGTCTCCGCTGATGATCAGGGGCTGATCTATTCCTCCTATAATCTACCATAAACTCCTTGGTTTTAGTGGTGTTGAGAACCAGATTATTGTCTCTGCACCACAAGAGCAACCGCTCCACCTCATCCCGGTAGGCAGACTCATCCCCCTTGGAGATAAGCCCCATCACTGTTGTTTGTAAGCAAACTAATAAGTCAAGACAGTTCTGTGATTTAGACTTCTGTTGTTCTAGTGTTCTAAAATCATACTTAATTTTTGCATGGAAATTGTACGAATAAATTAATCATTTCTAGGTCACGGTATCCTGTTCCCCAAAGGATATAGGAAGAATAGTACCTG